GCAGCAGCGCCCCCGAGCCCGCCTGTGAGAAGGCACACGCGCATCGGGGGAAAAGGGCCGGCGCAGCCGTACAGGAAGCCGCACGGCAGGGTGAAGTCGCGGAACACCCGCCCCACACCGCGCTGATCGCGGCCTGGTCGCCGACGCCGAGGCGCAGGCGCTCCACGAACTGCGTCGGTGGCAGGCCAAAGGCGTCGGCGAGGGAGGCGCAAACGCCGCAGAGCAGGCGGCACACAAGCGGGCGGAAGCGCCGCATCTCGTCCAAGACAGGCAGCCCGGACGCCCTGCGGCGCCCCACCGCCCCCCGTTTGGCCAAAGCGGCCGCGGCGACCTCATCGCCGCATTGCCGACTGCCACTACCCTACAACGGCGGCACGGCACTTACCTTCGGAAATTGAATAGACACAGTGGTGAAGGGAAAAACGGCAGTGCACGCGCAAGGCAAGCGCATGTGCGCTTAGGGCCCACCCCCGCACACGCACGCACGCACGCACGCACGCACGGCAACTCACGCCCCGCCCTCTCCAGCCGTCCGGCGACCATTCGCCGTGCGGGAGCCCGAGCTCCTCGTAAGTAGGTACCAATGTGAGGAAGAAAAAGAAAATTGGCCGCGCAACTTCGCTGCTGCCGCTGTGACGGCAGGCGCCGAGTCTTTCATTATTATCCCCGTTCCGTTTTTCGTCTGATTTCTTTTCCCGCTTTCTTCTCGTTTTTTGCTGAGTTCCCCTCCGCCTTTAATAGTTGCGGCTGTGCCGTTCCACTTGTGGCAAAATGACGCCGTTTTCTCCTCGATGGATTTTTACCACCACCCGTTTTTTCTTCTTTTCTCTTTTTCTTTTGCCCCACGTTTTGTCTCCGTCGCCCCCTTCCACCCCAAAAACACACAAAAAAAAACGACGAGGAGGTCGCGTGGCCCTGCGCCGGCGCGGCAAAGACAAGACCAACAAAAATGGCGCGTAGGAAAAACCCCGCGACCCGCCCACCCCGCGAGCCGAACCGCACACGCCCGGCTAGAGGATGGGCGTCAGCTCCTTCCCCTCCGCGAGTCGCTGGAGGAGCGCCTCGCAGTTCATCAGGCAGCGAGGGAGGTGGAACGGCCCCTTCCACAAGGACCCCTTTTGCGTGTGCGACACGGTGCCATCGCGGTGGAGGTAGCCGTACCACTCACCGTGCTCCTTGTCGGCGAAGTGGCCGAAGGAGTAGACGTGCAGGCGCTCGAACCACCGGAAGTACTTCTCGTCCCTGGTGAGCCCGTAGGCCATCAGGGTGGCGATCAGCGCCTCGTTGTGCACCCACCAGAGCTTCATGTCCCACTCCAGCTGCTCGCAGGGGCGCCCGTCCACGTCGGCAAAGTACAGGATGCCACCAAACTCCTTGTCCCAGCCAATCTCCAAGGACCAGTTCAAGATGTTGAGCGCCTTCTCGAGCAGGGCCTTGTCGTTGGAGTATATCGCCTCGTTCATCAGGAACCACGAATTTTCAATGGAGTGGCCGGGGTTGATGCACCGCCCAGCGGGCGTGTCAATCTTGCCGCCGTCAGTCCCAACGCACTCCAGCACGCAGCGGTACTCGGGCTTGTAGTGGTAGCGCATGATGACGTCGACCACCTCCCTGACCACCTTCGTGTAGTACTCCGCCTTGGCGGGGTCGCAGCGACGCAGCAGCTGGGCGCAGCTCACCAGCACCATCGGCACCGCGCACGCCCGGTCGCTGCGCGTCTCCGCGTACGACTTGGGCGTTATCTTGAACGGGTCCTCCTCCGGCGTGCGGAAGAGCTTCAGCATCAGCTCGTACCGCTCCTCCGCCTTCCTCAGCGCCGCCGTGTCCCCCGTCGCGAGGCCGTACTCCGCCATCGACATGACGTAGAAGCTTTCGGAGTACATGTAGCGCCGCTTCCGCAGCGGCTTGCCTTCCGACGTCACCGTGAAGAACATCCGGCCGTCGGTGTCGGTGCAGTACTTCTCCAGGAACTCCTTGCCGGCCCGCGCGGCCTCCAGCCAGTCCTCCCGCGGCCCGTAGCGATTGATCAGCGCCGAAAAGGTGCACAGGCACCGCCCCTGGAACCACACGGACTTGTCGTTGTTGTAGGAGCGCCCCTCGCGGTCCACGGAGGTGATGTAGCCCCCGTGCTTCCGGTCAATGAGGTCGGAGCGCATCCAAAACGGGACGCAGTCGCCCATCAGCTGGTCATGGTAGAACTGCCGGTACGACTCCAGGGTTTCCTTCGTGACAGGCATTATTCGCGTCGAGCTCCGCCTTGAGTGGTACTTCTTCTTCTTGTTGTTGTTGTCGCTTTTATTTGTCTTCGCACTTCAGTGTTGCTTGCCAACCGCCCCCGCCGCAGGCAGCGCAAATGTCAAGAGACGAGAGAAAGGCACCAAAACAAGGACAGAGATGAGCCTACGCGGCGGCTGCAGCAGCCATGGGGCGGAAGGGGCCTCTGAGGCTCCTGCCGCGGCGCCACCGCCCCCTGTTGGCGAAGTACGGCGGCAGGACCACCGCGAGGGCCGCCACACCGCACACCACGACGGCGTGCGCCACGATGGCGTAAACGAAGCCGGAGACGTTGTCGCCGAAGAGGCTCACGCCCACGGCGGCGAGCACGGGAGAGCCACGCCCGGCCAGCACCCTCGCAGGCGCAAAGGGGGCGGGGCCGGGGCTGCGCGGGGAGGCCTCCGCCAACGCCACGGCGTAGGCCACGCCCCAACGAAACAGGCGCGGGTGCTCATCACGGCGTGGCGCACGGAGAAGTTGGTCGCGTTTCCCGGGACGAATCCGTCGAACGTC